CTGCCTGGTTTTGGGATGAGGGTTATGATGGCTTCATAGAATGTGTTCGGTAGTGAGCTTTCTCTTTCTATTTCATTGAAGAGTTGGAGGAGTATTGGTGTGAGCTCTGCTTTGAAGGCCTTGTAAAATTCCGCTGGAAAACCATCTGGCCTTGGACTTTTCTTAGCTGGGAGGTCTCTTATTGCTGTTTCTATTTCAATGCTTGATATGGGCCTGCTAAGATAGTTTAACTCATCTTGGTTTAGTTTTGGCATGTCAATATTTGCTAGGAAAAGGTCCATTTCTGTCAAGTTCTCAAACTTATTAGCATAAAGTTTTGAGAAGTATTCCCTTATAATGTTCTGAATCTTGGTTCAAACCTAGGCCTTATGTATGCTAAGTACTCCTTTTTCTACTTGAATTGTGTTCCTTAGACCCTGTGACTTTTTTTGGTATTGTGGATTAAACTCAGGATCTCACACTTGGTAGGCAAACACTTGAGCAACTCCCAAGTCCTTTGAGTTTTGTTCGCTTTTAGTTTGTTTATTTTAGTTTTTTTTTCAGATAGTGTCTTGCCCTAAGTTTTGGGACTGTCTTCCAAACTCTTTATTTTCCTACCTCTGTCTCCCAAGTAGCTAGGACTTAATGATGAAAGGTCATGTCCAGCTTGTTTTTGAGAAGAGAGTTTTGCCAACTTTTGCCTGAGATGCCTCAAATGACAGTTTTTGTGGTTTGAGATAATTCCTGGGATTATGGGAATTTACCACCATGCCCAGCTGGCTTTTTTTTTTTTTAACTCTCTAATAAGAGAGTTTATCGTTAAGTTCTTAAAAATTACATTCAAGAAAAAAAATAGTGGATCACTTGTGTCTTAGTTGGTCTAGATAATAAATTTGGAGCAGCTATTTTTAATTTTTTTTTCTTACAATTATTTAAAGTAATAGCATAATTTCTTATTTTCAGATTAGGCAGATGATTCTGGCTCTTATTAGTGACACTCTCCATTTAAAGCATTTGCTGTATATTTCTGCAGATAGTCCAATAAAAGATGTTTATCCAGGAATCTTAGTAGCTCGAAATGGTCACTCTGCTCCAAGTTCTGTACAATATAGGTAGTCTGAAAAGTTGTATATGTATTCACAATTTTTCTTAAACATATGTGAAAATTAAGTACTTAACCTAAATTTGTATTTTCTTTCTTGCCATTTTGACTAAGTAAATATGAAGATTATGTATACTACATTGTAAACAGTAATTTCTTAGGATTTGAAGAAAGGTTAGCAATAATAATAAAATGCTTAGAATTTTCTAAAGATTGAATAATTAAAGAATTAGACATCTGAACCTTTTGAATGACGTAGAACCTTTTTTCGATTTTGTTTTGTCTTTTCAACAGGCACTATTGCGTAACCATTCCCGAAATTCTACCCAAATTGCTTCTGTCAGTTAAATGGAATTCTAGAGATGAAGTAGCCCAGGTAAGAGCATGTTTGAGTTTCTTGAACAACTGTTATACAGCATTGATATGGCACTTAAATTATTTGCTCTCAGAAAATGTCCATGATTTTAAGAAATGAAATAAATTAATAATCATGGTAATATATGGAGAAAAACTATCATCCAAATTATCTTCACAGATAAAACTAATAGAAATTGAAATTTTTAAGCAAATTTTAAGGAGGTTTTAAAACCTTGAAATTGGCGGCTAAGAGAATGTTTTAGAGTTTATTTACAGCTGTCTTTAATTTTAAGTATAATTTATTATCTTACTCCAAACACAGATGTACTGTTTAGTAAAAGATTGGCCTCCAATCAAACCAGAACAGGCTATGGAGCTTTTGGATTGTAATTACCCAGATCCTATGGTTCGAGCTTTTGCTGTGCGGTGCTTGGAAAAATATTTAACAGATGATAAACTTTCTCAATACTTAATCCAGCTAGTACAGGTAAGCTAGAAAGTAATGCTTTATTTCAAGCTCATGCAAATTTCAAAGCCTAATGAATTAACTGGTTTTATATTACAGATTTTGCCATTTTAATCCTTACTTTCCAAGATTTTTTCTTTAATTCTTGAAATGTAGAAATGAGCCTTGAGTCATTTGAGATTTTTTTTTCTTTCTATAGAGAACTCAAATAGTATAATTCTTCAGAAAGACCAAGTCAAAGCCCAACAAATAACTACCAGGAAGTAGGTACTCCTTAACTATTCGTCCAAAGGGGTTACAATTCCATATATCAGGTTAAGAGTACAATGCTTCTTGATCAATGTTACCCCTTCATTCTCTCCCATTTTCTTCTTATCCCTGTCTTCAATTTACATATTTTTTGCATAATGCACATAAAAAGTAATGACTACATTATCATATTTTTGAGATTTTTGAATGTGTTACCCAGGCTGGTCTTGATCACTTATGGATTCAAGAGATTCTTCTGCCTCAGCCTGTAGGTTAGGTGGGATTGCCAATACATACCACCATGCTTGGCTTGTCATAAATTCTGACATGATAAAATTATCTCTTATTTTCAAACATTTCTTGATTATAATTTTGAAAAAGAATTTTTTGAATCCTTCAATTAATACCATGGAAAATCTTATTGAGAATTTAGTTTAGAGTATACTAGATTTTTGGTTTGATTTGATGACTGAGTATTCTTTATAAAGTTTTCCTAACCACAGGAAGATAGTTTAGTTTAAATTGACTTGTTTTAATAGTATATCTCTCCTCTTAAACTTCCTGTAGGTTTCCTATTATTTTGTAATCTTGTGCTTGTTTCTTTTTCTCACTTGTAAACTTTTTGAGTGTAGGTATCTTTTTGTTTTGTCTTTTTATTTTCATTTGAATTTCTATTTCTTTTAATTATCTAGGTTCTAAAATATGAGCAATATTTGGACAATCTGCTTGTGAGATTTTTACTCAAGAAAGCATTGACAAATCAAAGGATTGGACACTTTTTCTTTTGGCATTTAAAGTAAGTCAAATTATTTCCCCACCAAATTCTTAATAAATATATAAATCTTAGTTATTTATATATTGTTTTTGCTTGAAATAATTTTGCATATTGTACAACTGATGAGCTCTTAAACTTTCTCTTTAAATTAAGTAAACAATGAAAGTCAGAACTTCATTTTATACATGATGAAAGCTAAAATATTTCTAAGTATCCTAATTAACTTAAGTAAAATTTTCTAGGTACATATTATTGTTTCTATAGGTTTCACTATACATATGTAATAGCCCAAAATAAATGAAAAATCTTACCTTAGTTTTCAAGACAATAATGACAAAATCCCATGCTTCTTACTGGAACAGCTAATTAAGAATAATAAATATTTTTGGAATTTGATACATCTTATAGCATTTTATCTAAGAGGTCTTAACTTTTAATAAAGTTAAAAATATATGAGTAATATTTTCTTAATGTTAAAAATTAAGAATTGGGACCTAGGAGGTTTAAAATAACTTAAATTTAGAAGTTGCATAGAGAAATGTGCATATATATTTGCCAGAAAAATAAAATATTTACTGAGTTCTTTATTAACTCATTTTATGTTTTTATGTTTTTTGCTCAAAATAAACAAGTGAAACAAATCCTAGTTATTTATTAAATTTCAGTATTCATAAATTATTTATAATTCTTTACTAGTTTTTTTTTAATGGTAGGTTTTGTATCATTTTATTGTTGGTATGGTTGTAACTGTTACTTGATGATTTAGAAAATGGTTTTTCTATTTTCTTGAAGATTACATAACTCAGTTAAGAATATAAATATATATTTTATTTTATCTATTTTTAATCTTACCCTATCCTTTTAGATCTGAAATGCACAATAAAACAGTTAGTCAGAGGTTTGGCTTACTTTTGGAATCATATTGCCGTGCCTGTGGGATGTATTTGAAGCACCTGAATAGGCAAGTTGAAGCTATGGAGAAGCTCATTAACCTAACTGACATTCTCAAACAGGAGAAGAAGGATGAAACACAAAAGGTATGTCATTCTTTAGTTGTTTTTGAGACTTTTATTTTAAAGAAAAAAATCAGTAAAATATTTTAGTATTAGAATAGTTACACTTTAAAAACCTTACTTAGCCATAGTCAATGTTCCAAGTTTAAAAAGCATTATGCAATAAGCACACACACAAGATGAAAACTGTAAACTGCACAATACTTTATGTACTAGTTTTTTACAAATTAAAAAAAAAATAACTGGGCAGGAAAATACATACTTCAGAAAAATTCACATCAGTAATTCTATAAAGCTCTCTTTTAGGGTCCTGAAATGTCGGACAAACATTAGCTCTGTAAAAAGTGTTACTGTGACAGTCCTGAATGTCCACTATATATAATTATCTGCATATATACATTGACCTTTTCAAGGCTGCTAACTTTACTATATAAATTTTAGATTACATATTCAAGTGTAAAGGTTCCTATGATTATGCAAACATTAAAAGAATGTATGTTATTGAGACACTTCCTTGCAGAGTTGTTTAAAGGTCTAGTGTATATCTACATCATGGTGCTTGGAATTGAGCAGCTTAATATCTGGTTCCAAGTTCCAGTGCCAAGAAGCCCTATGTAAATAATATGGATTTATATTAAGTGCATTATTTAGACCCTGAAGGTTAATTTTCCTCACTGCAAAATGGGATTGATACTTTCATCGTAAGATTTTTGTGGAAACTAAATTACACAATGTAAAACACCTATCATAGTCCTTAAATTAAGAGAGATGCTTAATACAATGTACATTTATTTAATTTCCTATCTTTAAATTCCTATCGTTTCCATTTTATACTCATTATTAGTAAAAAGTCATTCTCAGTTAAATGTTATGCACTATGATTGAACTGATTTTATAAAATTATTGTATATAAGTTCAAATGTAGTACATTCGAAAATAATGGTATTTCAAAAGCATGTATGAGGGCAGCATAGAGAAAGTGAATAAAAGGTATCACTAGGAGATAGGAAGGAGATCAGGAAAAAGAAAATTATTGATTTTGATTGTGGAATTTATGGGCAAGCAGGAACTAGACTGTTTTGACAGAACAGAACTTACATTTAATTATAAACATTTATAAATTTTACATTGTTAAATATAAAAATATACACTTATGAAATATAAACATTCATTTTGTACCTACAGTTTTCTTATCACAGTGGTTTGAACTAATTTAACAATAGTTAAAATTAGTAGTTCATGAAATTCATTACTCCGCTGTTCCAATAAGACAGCAGTCATAGGTGATAAATAGGCATGGCTGAATTCTAATGCAACTTGATTTATAAAAACTAGTAATTGAGCTACAGGTCATGATTAACTTGCATTTACCTTTGTTACCAGCAGAGCTTATCTTTCCACAGGAAGGTACTAAGTGCTTGTCTCTCTCCCCAAACATGTTGCTCTGTGTCATAGAAACCCTATTTACTTCACCTAGAATGCAGCTAGTTGAGAGTATGGATTCAAATCTCATTCTCGATGTGTAAATTCATGAAATTTATGAAATTCATTTCTATTATTTCTATCTTTGATCATGCTTTTTAAAAAAATCAGGTACAGATGAAGTTTTTAGTTGAACAAATGAGACAACCAGATTTTATGGATGCTCTTCAGGGTTTTCTATCTCCTCTAAACCCTGCTCATCAACTAGGAAATCTCAGGTAAGGTTTTTAACAGTTTTAATAATATATTTGAATAAGTACATTTTCTGGGTAGAGTTTTGAGAAAAGTCAAAATATACCATGTATAATTAGAATGTATAATTATATATGCTTCCCTCTTCATTCTTCTACCTTGCAAAATAGGAATAGTAAAGTGTTGTTAAGTCTGAACTACATTTATTTGAAATCAATTTCTACTACTTAAGTAATAGAGTTTGAAACCTATGGACAAACTTTCTAATATGCTACATAAGAAATGGAATATAATGTCTGTAAAACTAATGATGTGTTGAAATTCATAGTTACATATGCATTTCTAAGCTTAGTAATTTCTTTAGGAAGTAATATACATAAAAACGAGAAAGTTAAATATTTTTGTAACATCTACAAAAACTGTTGTATACATATTTTAAAGTAAATTTGAGACTAAAAAGTATAACAAGGGTAAAATGTTTAGTAAAGATTTTAATGGTTTTAAAGGCTTGAAGAGTGTCGAATTATGTCCTCAGCGAAAAGGCCATTGTGGTTGAATTGGGAGAATCCAGACATCATGTCAGAGTTACTGTTTCAAAACAATGAGATCATCTTTAAAAATGGTGATGGTAAGAAAGAATATTTTAAGCTTATGATGCATGAATTTTGCTATCTTTTTATAAACAGGATATTCAAATACCTTGAAAACTATTTGAGCATTGCACATGTGATAAAATATAGACTAAGTAAATACTGTTTTTCCTGTATATTTTTTAATATATATTTTTATTGTAAAGATACTGTATAGGGGCTGGGAAGGTGCCCAGGCCCAGAGTTCAGGCCCCATGACTGGACCCCCCCCCAAAAAAAAATACTGTACAGTGGGGTTACAGTTACATGAGTAAGGTAGTAAGTACATTTCCTATGGAGCATTGCTATAGCCCCTCCCCTACCATCCCTTCCCTCCCCACCTCTCCCAACTACCCCTGCCCAACAAGGGTTGTACCATGGGAGAGGAACATACAAAAGAAACAAAAAAAAATCACATAGTACATTATAATTACATTAAAAAGAATAGCAACAAAAAGAACCCTATCGGGGTTCATTTCACTTTTCTACATTTTTTTTTAATTGTGAAAATACCGTGTAGAGGGGTTACAATTACATGGGCAAGATAATGAGTACATTTCTTATCAAGCATTGTTGCCTCCTCCTTTGTTTCCCCTTCCCATCCCTTCCCATCAATACCCCCCCCCCCCCCCGCCAAAGTTGTAAAGTTTGTTTTTCGACATAACATCTTGTGCATCTCATTGTTGCAATTGGTCCACCTGTATCCCTATTTTAACAATTTGTTTTTTCCCTTCCCCTCCACAAATTATACCAACATCAAATACAGTGAAAACAGGGATTATATTGTGGGGGAGGGACATACAAAGCAACAAAGAAACCTTATAAATATGTTAGAAACAATAGCAAGAAAGAAAAAACATTTGAGTCCTTATCTTGAGGTTCATTTTGCCTAACATCAACTTATCTGACCGTTTCTGCTTGTCTCAGACATATACTAGTTATTGCAAATAGTACCAATTAGCTGTTTAATTTTGAGAAGTCCATATATGTATACAGTGTACCTGATATCACTCATCTCTTCCATCACTCTCCCTCATCCTCACTCCCAAGGAGATGTCTTGAACTTAGCAATATACATGTGAAAGAAGTCAAGAAATCCAAAACTTTAAAATATATTTTTGTGTGCTCAATTATAATTTCTAACTGTGGCTATTGGGAAAGTAGTGGATATATACAGAGGCTTTTTCTTAGTTCCTTGTATTCACTTTAAAGGTGGACTCTTCTAAAATCATTGACTTGTCATGAATTTTAAGAACTAGGGAAGATCACCTGGAGGTTTACCCCTACAGTTAAACCTAGTACTTCTTTTCAGTGACTACCAATGATAGGGGAGTAAAACTTTGCTTTTTTCCACCCTTGTTCTTTGGCTGACCACAAATTGAAGATGACTTACGATAGATTGGCATAGGGAAAAACAAACCAAGCAATGGAATCTCAGAAAATATGAAACTTGAAGTGCAACCAGTGATTAAAAGTAATATATCAGCCTGAATTGCAGAAAAGAGTAGGAGCTTTGGAAGATAGGAGATCATGGTGACACAGTTAAAGGATGATGAAGAATTCAAAGATAGGATGAATGAAAATTAATTTGACATTCTTCTAACAATTCTCTTAGGTAATAAATGTCTGAAAGCAGCCCTCAAAAGTACTGGAGTAAATGCCCTGGAGTGGGATTGCTGTATAGGGGAGTTCTGTGTTTAGTCTTTTGAGGAACCTCCATACTGCCTTCCAGAGTGGTTGAACAAGCTTACATTCCCACCAACAGTATAGTAGCTTCCCTTTTGGCCACATCTCTTCCAGCATCTGTTATTTACTTTCTTGATAATGGCCAGTCTAACTGGGGTGAGGTGAAATCTCAGTGTGGTTTTGATTTGTATTTCTGTTATGGCCAGTGATGTTGAGCATTTCTTCATGTGTCTGTTGTCCATTCTTATTTCTTCTCCAGAGAGAAAATTCTTTAGTGCACTTATTAATGGGTGATTGTTTCTTTGAGGATTTGTTACTAAGGGAGTTAATTTTTTTAGCTTTAGGTATATCTTTGATAAGACCCTTGTCTGTTGTATAGCTAGTGAAGATCTTCTCCCTATCTGTGGGCTTTCTATTTATCTTGCTAGCTATGTCCTTTGCCATGCAGAAGCTCTTTAGTTTAATGCAGTCCCATTTTTCCAGCCTTTCTTTGATTTGTTGTGTTTCTGGCTCTTTATTTAGGAATTTCTGACTTGTGCCGAAGAGCCCTAGGGTATCCCCTATCCCTTCCTGTAATATTTTCAGAGACTTTGTTTTTACATTTAGGTCTTTGATCTATTTGGAGTTGATTCAGGTATAGGGTGATATATAAAGATCTAACTTCAATTTTCTACATGTGTATAGCCAATTCTGCCAGCACCATTTGTTGAAGAGGCTGTCCTATCTGATAATCTTTTTCCATTGGTTTATTCCTGGCAACCTCTGTTCTTTCACCCTCTATCTTGTATATACATTTATCTGATTTGGGGAAAGGAAGGGAAATAACAAAATTATGAAAGAAGCACAGAGGATGACCCAGTACAACAATGATATTCACAAGCCAGTATGTCAGAAAAGAATTTTACAACTTTGAGGGGGGGAGTGGGAAAGGGAAGGGATAGTAGGAGAACAACAAAGGAGTGGGTAATGATGTTCAACAAGAAATGTACTTTACTCATGGAATTGTAACCCCTCTATCTTCTTTACAATAAAAAAAAATACATTTTTTTGAAGTATTGGTGTGTGTTTGGGCTTAGGATCAACCTCCATTCACTCTTTACTGGTTGAGGGGAAATTTGCTCAACCTATTTAGAATCAGAAGTACTGAAATTAATTTTTATTATTTACTTCGTTATGATTTCTATGAGTAGTATCAACATTCATTCATTCCATAATTCATTCCACAAATACTGTTTAATCCTGGGGTTTTAGCAGTTAAGAAATATAATCTCTACTCCTCTTGTAGCTTATACTCTAATTGGAAAAAGTGTTTGAACAGCTGGTTGTAAAAATAATCTTTATTTTGTACACATTATTGAATTTCAGATTTACGACAAGATATGCTAACACTTCAAATTATTCGCATTATGGAAAATATTTGGCAAAATCAGGGTCTTGATCTTAGGTGAGTAAAGAGTAAGATAACCTGTACTTTGAAAGCAATCCTCAAAAGTAAATTATTATAAATATTAATTATAGAAACACTTTGAGATATATAAAGAAATGTAGGCAGAAGTAAATTAACTGGAGTTGATTATAGAATAGCTAATATGATTTTAATTAAATAAGAAGAGCTTTCTCTGATAAGTATCCCAGAATGTCATTAGGAACAGGACATAAGAGATTGAAAGGGCCCATTTTTATTCATTCCATCTTTATGATGGAGATCTATAATCTCCATACTCAGGAGGCTAAAGCAGTGGGCACCAGGAGTTGAGGCTATACAGAAAGACCCTGTCTCAAAAAACAAAACAAAATAGGCAAAATTTAAAAGTAAGGTTTTTTTTGTCTTTTTTTTTTCGTTTTGGGGTTTGAACTCTGGGCTTGGGCGCTGTCCCTGCGCTCTTAAGCTCAAGATGAACACTCTGCTACTTGAGCCACAGCACCACTTCTGGTTTTCTAGTGGTTTATTGGAGATAAGAGTCTGATAGACTTTCCTGCCAGGGCTGGCTTTGAACAGCCTCCTAAGTAGCTAGGATTACAGGCATGAGCTACTGCGCCTGGCTAAAAGTAAATTTTATAATGGAATTTTTCTAAGTTAAAGTTGATTTTTGTGTTTGTTTTGGGACAAGCAAAATTTATGGAACCAACTAGCTTTATCTTTTCCTTGGTTCCTGTCCATTTTTTTAGTTGTCAATAGTGTCTCCAAGTTTTGTAACATGCCTCATGTTCTTCTAATTGTTATTGCATCTAATAGATTTTTTTTTGTGTGTGACTTATGGCCTTGCAAATTGAAAAAAATCATCTCAGTAAAAGCCACTTTTTAAAGAAGTACATATGTCTGTGGGTGGGCATGACTCAAGTCAGGGTTCAGCAACAAGGTACTTTACGTAGAAATATCAAATTATACAAGACAAAGGCTTATTTATATGTCTCACAAATTTAGGATTGCATATATATACATATGTATATTACATATACAATGTGCATATATACATTTACACATCAGTGACATTAGTAAATATTCTTTTATTGCCAAAAACAAAATAGACATTTTACCTGCTAAGACAAAAAATTAAGTCATCAACTTCAAATTATAAACTCCTAATTCATTGCTTATTCTCTGATGTTTTCCAAAGATAATTAATGGGCTTTGAATCATGTTTACTTTTTGGCATAATTTCCTGTGTCATGAGGTATCCACATATCACTACCATTCCCAGAGGAGTAGAATATAAAAGAGATTTCAGAACTAGTAACAATGAAGGATTTAAATAAATAACTCTGGTTCTTACAATGCTTAATTGTAAATTAGTAGTTCTACAGAAAGAAGCATCTAAAGTTCAATTCAGCTTATTGACAATATTAAGAGATTTTTCTAAATAATTTTTGTGTAAGCAAATTTAAATTTTTATTTGTTAAATTTTAAGTAAAATTATTTTAACTTCAAAATTATAACAGTTTTATTTATACTTTAGGCTTGGATTTATTGTAATTCCCATTTTTGTATAACAAGAATTATAAGACAATTTAACTTTTTAGACCAGGAGTCGGCCATGTCAGGTACAATCATTTGTTCTGAATCTGTGAAGGCAACTGCAGGTGAAACACAACATTTAAAAATACATGAACTTTTTCCATATAAAAATTCAGTAAATCTAGGCCCTTAAATGATGTTATAAATATCCAAATGGAGCTTGGAAGTCCTTATCCTTCCTGCTTGCTCAACAGTAATAAAATAAATAAAAATTTTAAAAAAACAAATGATCTAGCCAGGCGCTGGTGGCTTATACCTGTAATCCTAGCTACTCAGGAGGCTAAGATCGGAGGATCACGATTCAAAGCCAGCCTGGGCAGGAAAGTCCATTAGACTCTTATCTCCAATAAACTACCAGAAAACCAGAAGTGGTGCTGTGGCTCAAGCTGTGCTTGCCTTGAACTGAAGAGCGCAGGGACAGCACTCAGGCCCAGAGTTCAAGCCCCATGACTGACCAAAAAAAAAAACAAAAAAACAGCAAAAACAAAGCAAATGAAATAAGATAGAATGAGTCAGAGTACAACCCTAAGAAATGTGTGTGTTTATGAGGGCAGGGAGAGATTTAATAACAGTAATGGTCAAAAGGATAGGAGTATCAGAGGTCCAAAAGAAAGCAGATTTCCACACACAGTTTGTATTGACAAGTACCTCAAGGGTTTTAGAAAATAAGGACTGAAAACATCTATGGACTTAATAAAAAGTTAAAAATAGAATGGTAGACATAAAATCCAGGCCACAAAGAATTAATGTGAGAAAATATAAAAGGAACTTAAGGAGAAAATGAAAAGTAGGAAGACTGGAAAGTTTTTGTGAAAAAAAATGGAAGCAAAACTATACTTTGTGCACTTAATGTGCCAATTTAAACCCTCATGGCTTCACCCTTGCCTCATATAATATATAATAGACTTTCAATCTACTTTTATTTTTTTGTGCGAGTCCTTGGGCTTGAACTCTGGACCTAATCACTTTACTACTTTAACCACTGCTCTCTATTTTTGGTAATTAATTGGATGTATGAGTCTCACAGACTTTCCTGCCTGGGTTGGCTTGAGTAGCTAGGATAATAGCTGTGAGCCACTTGTGCCTGACCTTTTTTTTTTCCTATTAGTCAATCTGATTAAACAGAAAGTATCCTAGAGTACTTATGTTCCTAATATAATGGTTATTCCAAGAGAAAGCATTTGAGTGGTTAACTTGTGGACAGAAATAGCTACTTTTTCCATGAAGTACCATTTTTATTAAAACACAAATTGAAGTACACACAAAATCTATAATCAACCAGAGGTAATGGTAAACAGCTGTAATTCCAGCACTCAGAAGTTAAGGCCTGCCTAATCAAAATAGGGTTTTGAAAAATCCTGTTTTCGAAAAACAAAAGCAAAAATCTAGTAAGTAAGCTACGATTTTTCAGACATAGGTATTTGGCAGATTTTCTTAAAAATCAATATATGCTGGGTTCAGTTCCTTAGCACCACATAAGCAGAAAAGGCTGGAAGTGGCGCTGTGGCTCAAGTGGTAGAGCACTAGCCTTGAGCTGAAGAGCTGAGGGACAGTGCCCAGGCCTGGAGTTCAGGCCCCACAACCAACCAAAAAAAAAAAAACCAACATATGCTTGTTTCTTTTTTTAAAAAAAGTGACAGTTTGTTGTTAACAATAAAATTTGAAATTTTGAGAAAATTAGAATGTTTTTTGGAGGTTGTGAACTAGTGGCCTCAAGTGGCCTCATACTTGCTAGGCAAGGGCTCTCTTCCTCTTGAGCCAAGCTTCTAGTAGGCAAAATTAAAATTCTGAAAAATTATATCCACCACTAAACTTAATGTATTCCCAAGCTTAAGGATTTTTCTAATGAGATTAGTGATAATATTAAGAGTTGTTTTTTTAAATGTAGTATGATAAAAAAATGTCAACATTTAGAAGATTTAAGCAACTCTTTTAAGTAATCAAGGCAGTATCTCATGAAATCATATGCAGGTAAAAGACTTCTCAAAGGCAAGATAAAATATTCAGTTTTAATTTATCAGTGTGAAAAATTTATTGACATGGTTTCAACTTCCATGTGGCAGCTTGATTGATTATCTCCTGTCAAGTCTTAGTATCAAAGAAAAATATTTATAATCTGCAAAGGCTATCTGATACATCTTTTTCTAACCATCTAGATGTATGAGGTGTGATTTTCTTCATACATTTCATTTAAAATATTATAGATAGATTGATTTCAGGAACATGTATGCAAATCCAGCTGTTGTTAATGATTTTGAGCTGGACATTTGGTGGCTGAGATCTGAGGATCCAGGTTCAAAGCCAACGCAGAGGGGAAAGTCTGTTGGACTCTTATCTCCAATTAACCACCAGAAAACCAAAAGTGAAGTGGCACTGTGGCCCAAAATGGTAGAGTGCTAACCTTGAGCAAAAATACTCAGGGACAGTGACCAGGCCCTGAGTTCAAGCCCCATAACTGACAAAAAAAAAAAAAAAGATTTTAAGAAAGTTTCATTTTTCAGTGAATGATTTTTGTTTTAATATTTATGTTTTATGAGATGTCATTTTCATTAACACATAATATTTAACTGAATTAATGAATATTTTAATTTTGAGTATCAGTAGATAACAATCCTCACAAATCAGAGCTCTGTGAGGTCCTTAATAAATTTTACAAGTACATAAGAGAATTGAGGTCAAAAATTTGAGAATTGCTACCCTGAAGTCTTACTTTGATGTCATTTAAGCATCTTAAAATTTACACATCTTTTTAGTTATCAATATTTAAATTTTTGTTGCTGTAATAATTTCCTTATTTTTAAATGCTGAAATGAAGGCTATGATAATTAATGGCAGATAATTTTGAGGCTCTTTCCAGTAATGTATTCGCCACATTATAAAAAGAAAAAAAAGGAGATTAAGACAGTAAAGTTCATGTATGAAAAAGTTGCAAATAGGAAATTTATATTTTGTCCTATTAAAATATTTTCTCCTTTAAAATTCATTGTTTTAATTGTAAATTGTATTGCTCCTTTTTCAGAATGTTACCTTATGGTTGTCTGTCCATTGGTGATTGTGTGGGACTCATTGAAGTGGTGAGAAATTCTCACACCATCATGCAAATTCAGTGCAAAGGTGGCCTAAAAGGTGCCCTGCAATTCAATAGCCACACACTACATCAGTGGCTCAAAGATAAAAACAAAGGAGAAATGTGAGTTTTCTTACATTAATCTAAGTTTTTGTTACATTAGTCTGTTAGTGGTTGAGTCTATATGTTCCTCTGAGCTAGACCACATTAAAAACTTAATTTATTTTAGAAAAAAATATGCTCAACTTTTAAGATATTTTGAGATCAATTGCTTATAATTTGATAAATCCTGTGCATTCACCTTATGCATATAGAATGAATTGTTAATGATTTAAAGAGAATTGGATATTCAGAAGTTTACTTTAAAAGTCATTGTTAAAAATGATTAGCAAAAAAAGCTGACTTTAATTCTATGTATTTTTCTATATACTTTTTCACTGTGATTGGAATTGTGTTTTAGTCAGAGAACATTTAGAATTTTCTTAAAAATCCTGGAAAACATAAGAATTTCAAAATTCTTCAGGTCTTTAAGGATAATTCCGTAACTTATTTCATGTCAGTGAGAAACTTCAGTCATATTCCCAGAGTCTGGCCTAGATCACTTCGTATTTCCACACTCTTTATGAGGTATTTATTTTTATTTTTTTGTAGATATGATGCAGCCATTGACTTGTTTACACGTTCATGTGCTGGATATTGTGTTGCTACTTTCATTTTGGGAATTGGAGATCGCCACAATAGTAACATTATGGTGAAAGATGATGGACAAGTAATGCCTTTTTCTCTTCAAAATGTTTTATAGTTCTTTAAATGGATTTTAGATATTATATGTTTCCATATGTCAAAATATTAACATGATTTCTTATTTTTGAAAGCTATTTCATATAGATTTTGGACACTTTTTGGATCATAAGAAGAAAAAATTTGGTTATAAACGAGAACGTGTACCATTTGTTTTGACACAAGATTTCTTGATAGTGATTAGTAAAGGAGCTCAAGAATGCACAAAGACCAGAGAATTTGAGAGGTAAGCTTAAGGAATTAAGAGCATAGAGCCAGGAGCCAGTGGTTCATGCCTATAATCCTATATACTCAGGAGGCTGCGATCTGAGATTTGAAGCTAGCCTGGGCAGGAAACTCCAGGAGACTCTCCAATAAACTACTCAGAAAAGCCGGAAGTGGTGCTGTGGCTCATGTAGAGCACTGGTCTTGAGCAAAAAAGAAGCTCAGGGACAGGGCACAGGCCCAGAGTTGAAGCCCCAGGAGTGGCAAAAAGAAAAAGAAAAACAAAAGAAATCAAGAGCATAAAATAACAAAAATTCTTACCTGCTTCAGCAGCAATTGGTATTTTTTAAGAAATTCAAAATAATAGCTACTGTTTAGCAAAACTAGAATGTGCGTGTTGCTGTGGAAGACATTGGAATGAAAACTAATTTCATTTATTGAGCCAATTATAATTTAAAAATAAAGTAATCCTTAAATTTATCACACATAAAAATTTTATTTGCTGCTGTTTGAATAATTAAACCCTTTGTCCTCCATATTGCAAATAATATAAAATGATTAAAACAACATGCATTAAAGAGCCAGGCAGCAGTGGCTTATTCCTGCATTCTTAGCTACACAGGATGCTTTAATCTGAGGATCTAGATTTAAAGCCAGTTTGGCCAAACTTTGATCAGAAAAAGCTAAGGCACAGTGTTCAGACCTGAGGTCAAGCCCAAGTTCTGGCACAAAACCAAAACAAACAAAAGCCATAACTTGATGAAAGTCAAGTGTATTTCAATGCTTATTCACAATTTTTTCTATCATTAGTCTTTCTTAAAACCTAAACCAATTTTATAAAATTGATTTACTTGACACTCAGTCTACATACTTAAAATACTTACCAAATTTCTGGTATCGTGCATTGTTCTATGTATTTGTAATAATGCAATAAGCAAAGTTTTTGTCTTCATGGGGCTTACATTTTAGTAGGATGAAGGATATAGAAAATGCTGGCAAGAAGATCAGGGAGAGGGAGATAAGTTATAGTTTATACTTCTTTCCAAATAAGCTCTTTTAATTATGGGATATTTGTATAGAGACCTGAAGATATTAATACCATTTGCTCCATACTGACCAAATGTTTTTACCACTTACAGGTTTCAGGAGATGTGTTATAAGGCTTATCTAGCTATTCGGCAGCATGCTAATCTCTTCATAAATCTTTTCTCAATGATGCTTGGCTCGGGAATGCCAGAACTACAATCTTTTGATGACATTGCATATATTCGAAAGACCTTAGCCTTAGATAAAACTGAGCAAGAGGCTTTGGAATATTTCATGAAACAAATGAATGATGCACATCATGGTGGCTGGACAACAAAAATGGACTGGATCTTTCACACAATTAAACAACATGCATTGAACTGAAATGGTAACTATGAGAAACTGAAAGCCCAATGTGATTCTACACTGCACTGTTAATAGCAGCCAGCAGGCAAAGACTGACTGCATAAGAATTGCACAATCCGTGAACAGCATTAGAATTCACAGCAAGAACAGAAATAAAATATAATTTAAATAATGTAAATGCAAACAGGGTTTGAAAGCACTAAACTAGTTCATTTCAAAATTTAAGCTTTAGAAAATCATGCAATTTCATATTATGCCTTAAGTCCAAAAAAGGTAAACTTTGAAGATTGTTTGTAACTTTTTAAAAAATGAAACAAAAATTCCCAAAATATATACAAATGATGGAGAGGGAAAAGAATGACATTCTGTTTGTCTTGTACATGTTCTGTGTTGTTAAAAAAAAAACCAACAAATGTGGTTATTATATTAGCCTAAAGAAAACTGAAGTTTATGTTAAATTACATGAAATTACATGAGATTGGAAAAAGAATGAAAATTTTATATTTTCCCATTGCTGCTCAAATTTACAATTTGAAGTAGGGTGTTTAATTTCCCCCCTTGGACTCCTTGTTTACTGAAGTAACAATGCTTGGGGTAGAAAGGAGTTTTGAGATTTCACCCATTTTTAATTAAAATCAAACACTTTGAAGATTTGAGGTCTTATCTGCAGAGTTTGGAAGCAGTAACAAATGAGACCTGACATAAAGTAGTTTTTGTTGGATTTTTGTTTTTGTTTTTTCTCCTGGACAGTATCTACAAGGATATGTCTCTTCCTTAGAAAATTCTGGGCTCCCACAAATGAAAGTAATCATCATAGAAAGAGTAGCAAGAGTAGTTCTTGTCCTAGAATTGTACAGTATTCATCTTGATTTACTTCTCCAGTTGAACTGAATACATTTTACATGCATGTTTTCCAGAATATAGAAGTATTAATGTTATTAAGAAGATTATTTTTTTTATTAAAGGCTATTTATATTATAGAAACTATTATTAATATATATTCTTTATTTACATAATCTGTCCCATAGTCCCGCATTGTTTTGCACCCCAAATTTTTATTGTTGGTTGGAGCATGGTTAGCTTTTCTCTTGGTCTATTCATGAGGCTCACTATCCCATTTGTATCAGTATCCATTATATAACTACTCGAGGGAACAGATTGAACTTTACCCTCCTTACTTTTATTTCTTTCTATTTTTACATGAATCCTTATCCTTTTATAGTTGAGAATCATATGAAATTAGTTACCAAAATTAATGTCATTCAGCTTACGTATACTCACCCCTCAAGTGAGATATGGTGCCCATGCGTAATTTATAATATGGGTGAATAGAAATCATGAACTTTTTTTTTAACCCTTTTAAGCTATTTATCTATATTCCAGTAATAAAAGTAGAACTTTAAACCATTTAAGGTCCTTTTCCTTTTCCAAGTGGTCAGGTCTCACTCCAATTTCATTAAAATTCCATTTGATCATAGAATATATTCTTAAACATTTTGCAAATCATTTCACTTAAGATATAGTAGCTGATTCTAGTCTTCTCCATAGAATGTGTTATTTTGCTCACTATGTGAAATGATTCATGTCCTGAAAAATAGCTTTAGCAAATGTACAGTTGCCACACCAAGAAATAAAAGTGCAATAATTACTGACAGTTTTCTAGATTAGACATATTATTGGAGAACAACTTTATAAAGAGTGCACATTATATTCTCTAGTACAAAAACATCATCACTTTAAAATACTCATCTATGAAATCACATAACTATAGTAGAAGTTGAATAGTGAACAAGGGACTCTAATACAAACACTTAACTATCCAGCTACTTTAGAACCCTCAAAGGGCATAATTACTGAAGATGTAGGTACTTCACTAAAGCATGTATATAATACTGCCAAAAATATATAAATTTGAATATTAGGTGAACTTATTTCTGTATACTGTCTTGGAATAGTAAAGCAGAATTTTAGCTCTGTTTTAAGCAGGAAACCCAATAGATTAGATTCCTTTGCAGGTGTAGATTTCATAACTTATTTAAGCTTCTTAACATTTTATGTTAAGATATGAGCAGCTTATTCATACAAATATCCCAGTCTTTTCTGTATCAGGGATTGATTATAGAAAAACTCAGTGGGAGATACAAATCTGCAGCTTTGATGGTGGAAACTGAAGAATTAATACAACTGTGTTTTGCCTAAGTGCCAAAAAATGAAAAAGTAAAAATAAGCCTTGAGACTTTCACAAAATTACAGTACCTTTTTTGCATGTTTTTCCACATTAGTTCAGATAACTATCACCTTCCCCAACTCCCATGACCTCTTCGCCCATTTAAAACACACAAGCTATATAGCTTATTTCATGGTTCACATTTATTTTTGCAATATGATCACCAAATTAATTGGAGCACTGTAGACAAATTGTATAAAGAATCTAGGCTAGTCTAAGAAAGGAAGGAGGAAAAGTAGTATTCATAAAAGCAAATACCAAAAACTGAACTGAAAGCTACATGGAGTGACTAACAAATCTGTTTGAAGTGGGCAATAATACAGCTGCTTCTAAGTACTTGAATATCAGAAATTAGTACCCAGGGATTGGTCAGTTTCTATGGCTAACCATTATTGTCATTAGATAGAGTGTAACTGACTTTAGACACCATAGTTTCATTAAATAACAAGAAATAATTTATTCAGTAATTATTTTGGAGGGGAAACAGAGTCTAAAGAAAAACAAAACCTAACAAAATAAAAATTAGCAAAAGATAATCAACTGAAATTCATGCTTTAACTTTTTATGATATTCTCAAGCTATACAAACATTTCTTTGGAAGATTTTTAGAATGCTGCTAATTTGAAATCTGTTAACCTTATTGTTGAATCTTTTTTTTAATGTTTCTAATTGGATTTTTTAAAAGAATGGAATTTGGTTGCTATTTTCTGATAGAACCTAAGCTTTTGTGGTTCTTAGTGTTCTCTGTAAAAGTTAGTGTCTGGTAATCAACTTTGAGTGTTCCTTTCTATTCTGTTTTATATTACAAGTCCAATAAGAAATGGGAACCTAGTGAATATATAATGAACTGTAAAATATTTTAATGTGTAACTTTTTCAACTGTGAAACTATGACTTGGTTTTTGATGAAACAGCTGCTGATAAAGTATTTTGTGTAAAGTGTAGTTCTTATTAATAAGGAAAATGATGATTTGATTAGACTCTGTATACCCTCTTGGATTTTATTTTAAATGGATTGGTGATTTTTACACAGATAAACTACAGTCCATTTATGTTCTCCTTCTATAAAGACAAGTGATTTGACATTATTGGAAAAAAGTGTAAAATGCCTACTTAAAGGTTCCATGGAAATCTCACAGAGCATAAACTTGGATTGGTTTCTTTAGATAATAATTCTGAATATCTGTTTAATTCTGAGTATGTTTAATTGTGATTAGTAGCCCAGGCTTCCCAACTTTTTGAAGAAATTTAATTTTCAGCAGTACGTTAAAGATAGTATGCTAACTTTTTCTGAATATTGTAGTTCCTCTTTTCTGTACCTGCACAAAGTAGATACTGGGCTGGATCCAAATGTTCAGAGTCCACCTTAAAAAATATTTTGAGGTCAAAGACATCACTAAAACATTCAATTTACATACAGAGAGCATGAAGTATCATAGATTGTGGTGCTTCCACCATTTAAAGAAATTTTATGCTTCCTATGTTTTTGAAAAGAGGGAATGTGAAGGAAGGTGTTAAAATGCAGTGGAGCAGTATGATTGAGCCTCTTTTTTTTTTTTTCTTTTTTTGATCTTAATTCTTTATATCCATCCTGCTCAGATGGGGCAAGTCATCTTCAGAAAACTACAGATTGTGAAATTATACATACCTTGAGGGAATTAAGTCTTATTCAAGGATGGAATTGTGAAAGTTGAACCATAAGATTGAACCTTAACAGCGTCCTCAGATAGTGTGTAGTTACAATACTACATGTGGGCTGTTTTTAAAATGCAACATAAAGCATTTTAATTATTGCATTCAAGTTACATGTATGTATATATATATATATGCATATACATATGTGTGTATATGGCCTGGGAAGTTTATTTTCTTCCTAAACATTATTTTCATTCTCTGAAAAATTATGAGATTTATCTTAACAAAACTGTGATCCTACTAAAATAGGATTGGTGACTACCTCAGAGGGTGAATAGGGGAAGAAACATACCATCATAGTACAATACTTCAGGCTCTCATGTTACAGAAATTTGGCAGATTTTAGTTTATTTTAGATACATAAAGTCAAAGGTATTTTTAATTTTATTTTAATTGTTGCTAGTCCTGGGGCTTGAACTTGGGACTTGGGCACTTTCGCTGAGCTTTTGTGCTCAAGGCTAGCACTCTACCACTTGAGCCACAGCTCTACTGCCAGCTTTTTAGTTGTCAGTTGGACATAAGAGGCTCATGGACTTTACTTCCTGGGATAGCTTGGAACTGTGGTCCTCTGAATAGCTAGGATTACAAGCATGATCCACCAGCACTTGATAAAATAACCAGGATTTTTGAGCCAGAAACATTTCTGGAAATCTGATAAACACTTGAGTTCTCCAAACTACTCTTACAAACATAAATCTGATAAGGGACTTTATGAAATTCAAAGATAATGATTACAGAAATTCATGCTAAAGCTAAAAAACTTATAAAAAAACTTTTAATAGGAAATCATAAAGCTTTCCTTTTTAACCTAGAGAGCAAATAAAAATAAGAATACTATATATATATATATATATATATATATATATATATATATAATCTTCCCCCAAAATACTTTAGTGATAAGTTAAAGGACATGACAGATAAGCATAGATTGCTTAGATTACAAAATGATTTAAAACTTTTTTTCTTTATTTACTAATAAGAAGAATAGACTTAATTTACCAATGGGGTTAATTTTACTACTTTCCCCAGTAAAATTTACATATAGCTGTATAAAAAATTAAGTTAAGAGTATATCATACAGCTCACATCTGACACTTTTTGTTACCTAGCATGGCTTAGATATAAACATTTCTAAAATCAAGCAGAAGCACTGCATTGATAAAAAGGAAGTACTAACCTTAACCAAGTGGAACACTTGAATAGCATATGTTTTAAGACTGATATCCCAGCTTGGGATGTTAATCTTAGTTAATAAATATTAGGTAATAAATTCAAATCTTTTGAATTTTACTTTGATATTTTATTACATCTTCTTTAAAAGATCCCTGAACTAGGATTAGCAATGTGTCTACAAATAAAAATATCTACAAAAATACTCAACAAATGCACTATCAATGAAGAAAAGAGAACAGAATGCATTTGAAAATGCCAAAAGAACCTAGTACTCTGAACCTCTTTGCACTGTGATGTGCAAAACTGGCTGAGGAACTATTTAAACTCTAGTCCAGTATTTTCCTTAATGTCTCCTGCACCATTAAAACCAAAGGCATGAAAAGAAAATCCTCTTGTATTGCAAGCCATCAGTGGCTCATGCCTGTAATCCTCGCTATTCAGGAGACTAAGATCTGAGTTCAAGCCCGAGGACTAGTACAAAAAAGAAATAGGATCTTTGTAGTCCAGTGTGACCTCAAACTCAAGATCCTTTTGCCTGTAATTCTCAAGTGGTAGATTTACAGGTATGCACCACTACACCCAGCTCTAAGAACCCAAGTTTTAATGGTAATAATTTCATTGTAATTCCATTCTTTACACTTGATTTGTTTAAATAAAAAATAATGTATCCATTTTTAACATAATGGCACTTTGATATTGAGGAGAATGTAACATTAGCAAAAGAAGATTAGAGACACAAAAAATGTTTGGAAGCTTCAACTTCACATTGGAGGCTTCAGCAGCAAGGTATAACCAGTGCTTTTTAGCCCCATTAATTGTAGCAAGTCTATTAATATTTTGTTCTCTCAATGAATTGAAATCCTGTGTTATAATGCACTAGTTAGGAGAAAAAAGTTAATGTTCTTTTATGATGGCCCAAAATGTCTTCAGCACAGCAAGATGCATGTTATTATATTAAACATATAGGATAATAAAAATCACTGAATTTACCACCTCTTCCAAGTCTTGCTCTTCCTGGCAAGAAATTTGGCACTTACTGTTTGCATCAGAAATGTCATTGTCTGCTTTTTTTAATTTTATATATATATATATATATATATATATATATATATATATCTTTGCAGTCTGTAATACTACACTGCTAATTAGACAACAAAAAACTTAACTTGGACTTGTGTACAAACAATCCTTACAGTATTATGTAAATAAGATTATGACAATATTTTGGCCATTAGTTTTGAAAAGCCAATGAGTGTTGCTAATAATAAAATTAATTTTGATTTGAATGCTTTTCAATAATGACTACAAATACTTGATTGAAACCCTGAAACTATGATGCCTGAAAAGCCAACTTTTCTGCCCTTAACAATCATATACTTACTTTAAGTAGACTTGTACACACATAATGTATGTTTGTATATGTATAAATACATAAGCCTTTTTCCCTCAAGTCAGTTGAAGACCAGAATCTAACAGTGATGTTAGGCTAGAAGCAACTTGTTTATTATTAAACATTGTGAAAGATAAGTCTGAGCCTTTCTGTTACCAGAAAATATAATCCAGGTTGCCACTATGAATTAAAAAAAAAACAACTGCAGAAATTAAAATAAGACACTTCAGCAGTTCAAATTAACAGTATTTGTTAGGAGAAAAAAAAAGCAGAAACCTCAAGAATTGCATATTATGTGAAAATCAAAAATATAATAAGAATAGAAATAACTCCTTAAGATGGTTACAAGAATCTCCAGAAGGATATAAAGTATACACACATACATGTATTCTTTCATGAGGGAAAATTTTTTTCCCACAGTGTTCTTTTTAATTGTAAAGGTGATATACAGAGGGATTAAAATTACATAAATCAGGTAATAATTAATTTCTTTTTTGAACAATGTTACCCTCTCCATTTTCTCACACTTTTTCCCCTCCTCATCCCCTCCCCAAGTTGTATAGTTCATTTTCAACATAGTATCTAGTAAGTATCACTGATGCATTTGTTCACCATTTGTCCTACTCTTTTCTCCCACAGCCTTTAAAAACAGCATGTTCTGTGTCTAACCTATGTATCACATTTAGCCAAGAAAGGGAGGGGCTTCAGGACCTACTTTCTTCAATACACTCTACCCTGTTTCATCTGTACTAAGGCTGCCTATTGAAATTCAGCAGAACTTAATAGCTATTGTTTAGTTTTGTTTCTCCTTTTTTTTCTAGTGAAGATACTTTATTTCTCATAAAATTATAATTGTACAATGCTCTACAGGAAAGAAAATCCTTCAATGCCCCAAATACCATCTGGCTTAGTCATCATCGTCCTTTCAAGAACAAAAGAGGTAATTAATATTACACAGCTCATTTGTGAAATACAGCATTTATGTTCTTAAGTTTTATTTGCCTTTAACTAAATGTTAAGTCCAGTTTAAACCTATACTTTCTGTAATTTAGCCAAATCAAATCTATCATAATTCAAAGATGATAGGATAAAATACAATGCTAACTGGTGATGCTAAGTTTTGTCAAGTAGTTGGCAAACGGTGATAGCTGTGATTTAGACAGAACAAAGAGATTTCTTACCAAGTAGAAAAGCCTATGCTCATTTATTGTTATTATAAAGGTGATGTACAGAGGTATTACTGTACATTAGTCAGGTAATGAGTACATTTTCCTTTCATAGTGTCTTCACTCACTCTCTCCCAGTACCTCTCTCCTGTCTCTACCCATGAGTTGTATCGGTGTCCAGTGAGCTCCTCTACTGTACCTTTTCACTGATTCCCCCTTGAGTTCTGTGTCCTCCCTCCCACTGATTCCCCCTTGAGTTCTGTGTCCTCCCTCCCACACTCCTAAATATATACATGCAAATAAATGATACATAAAGACAATCATCAACCAAATTTTTTAAAAGATCTTGTTTCCATATCTTAGAGTTTGTTTCAATATATAATGTAAATATAAAGAGGCACATAGGCCTCTTTATAGAGAAAACATGCAGTTTGTTTCACCATGATTTGTTCTTGTTCCATCCATTTCCTTGCAACTAATTTAATTTTATTCTTTCTTATGGCTGTGTAAAATTCCATTCTGTATAGGTACCACATTTTTTTTTAATCTACTAATCTATTGTAGGGCATCTGGGCTGTTACCTATCTTGGCTATTATGAATGGTGTCTTTATGATATCCTGGCCTGTGATGTTCTGAGTAGATGCCCAGGAGGGGTATGGCTGGGTCTTAGTGATTTGTGTTTTTAGTGTCTTGAGTAACCTCCAGAGTGGTTGTATGAGTTTGCCTTCCCACCAACAATGCAGTG